TCCCGGAATTGACTTGGGGCACTTCCGGGCCCACGGTACTGCCCAGAGCGGTCACGGAAAGGGGCTGTGGGTGCACAGGCTCCTGACCCGTGCTGCTCGTGCTGTCGAGTGGCTAAAGGGGAAGTGGCAGACACGTAGGGCCCAGTCCCCTTCTCTGGGCCTTGGACAACTGCCCCGCAGAAGCAGCCGGGGCCTGACAGAGTGAAGGGCTGGGAACCCCCACGTGGGTCCCTGGGAATTCTGTGCTCACTGGCCTTGCAGGGCGGCAGACCTCAGGTACAAACGGTCACCAGGCGTGAAGTCACGAAGAACTTCAGGTGACGGCGGCAGCAGGAGAGCTGGGGCCTCTGGGCTCGGCAGGGCACAGGGCTCCCTGTCTGCACAAGCCGTCCTTGGCCCCTGGGCCTGTGCAAGGACCCGTGCCCTCCCCACCATCCCCACCAGCCAGAGCGGTGGGCAAGTCGGGGGAGGAGGGGCTGGTGGCAGGCAGGAAGAGGGAGCCGCACAGCAGGAAGGAAAGGGAGCGCAAGCAGCTCCTGACACAAACCTAATGGCCTGGCCAGAGCCACGGCCCGGTGCTGTCCTAGAGGACTTCCTGTGGGTCCTGCAGAGGACAGGGGCATGGTGGGGAGGGACAAGGCAGAGAGGGTCCCCAACCCAGGACCCTAGTGCGCCCTGTGACAATGACCCCACCCCCGCTCCCCAGGGCACTAACGAGTGCTTTGTCACGGCTGCCAACACAAGAGGCCTTCCTGGGTACAGATGGGGACATTGAGGCTCCGTCGGCCCAGGCCAGAACCCATACTGGCCCCCATGCTTGAGGACGGGACTCCACTGACTGCAGACACCTCACGCCTGGCATTGTGGGTCAGCCGGGTGATGAAGTCGCTGTCAAGATGCGAGAAAATTCTGTCCTTGCTGCTTCAAGAAACGTCTGCTCTTGGCCTCGTACACGGTGGCCCCAGGGCAGGCGCCCTCAGCAGCCTCGTGCAGCAGCGGCTAGGGCCTCAGTGGTTCAGGTCCCTGCCCCCCTCTTAGCTGAAACCCCACTGCGCTCTCTTCACATGACCTTTGTCCTCCCTTCTGTCCCCCACACCCCCACCCCTCCCTGTGCTCTGTGCCCTCTCCAGACCGAGTGTTGGAGGGCAGGCCTTCTCGGACAGCAAGCAGGGACCAGGAGGTCCCCAGAAAGGCCTGGCGGGGGAACCACGGTTGCCAGAGCTCACATGGTGTGTTCCACCCTTGCTCCCCCCCACTGAATGGCCACGCTTGCCTCCCTGTCATCGTCGTCCCAGCACTGTCCCCTCGTTCCTGCCCACACTGTGTCACGGGGACCTGTCGCCACCCCAGAGTGGTCAGTACACCTGCAGCCAAACCTGCCCAACCGTGCTCGCAGCCCAGCCGGCCCCGCTCGGGGAGACTGGACACCGCCCTGGCTTGCAGGACGAAGCAGGTGCGGGTCACGTCATGGAGAGACCGTCCCCACCAAATGCCAGGATGACAGCAGTCACTGAAGATCTGGGCTGGGTGTCCCAGGGCAAGGTACTCCTCACCAGTGGGCCAGAGTTGTGTCAGGTGACGGGAGACCAGGTGGGGTCATTCTGGAGGGGACGTGGGGCACTGGGACACCAAGGGCAAGAGGCATCCCATGCAGCCCAGCTGGGCCCAGAGCAGGCAGGAGAGTGGGTGGGAGGCCACCCCAGTGACCAGGAGGCTCTGCTAAGCACCGGATGAAAGTGCATGGGGGTCCGCCCTCAAAAGGAGGTTGAGCTGCCCAGACCCGCGTGGACCCCTGGGGAAGCGAGCTAAGCGGTTCCTGCAGGAGGTGTGGCCTGCGCTGGGCTTCACCTTTGTGCTTGCAGACCCCCGAAGGCGACGTGGACGTCGTGGACTACTTGTTCTAGCTGACCTACTGTTTTTCTTACGGCTTCAAGCTGTTCATTCCCGGCGCGCCGCAAGTGTCCCCGTACGGAAGCGCAGCAGAGCCGGCTTTTCAGGGTGTCCGTTGGGATCAAATGCGCTCGCATGGCCGGACTGGACAGGAGGAGCCCTGACCACGCCTCTGTAAAGCGCGTGTGGAAAGTAAAGGTCAGGAACGCCTGGCTCGCTACTGCACAAGATGACAGGGGCGCCCGCCCGCCCACACGTGTGCGCTGCGAAGCCGCGGCAAGGACAAACCCACTGCAGACATGCCCGCGGTACCTGGGGTTCTAAGAGAGGGCATGCTGCTTGGTCAGCAGTGGGGGGAAAGACACCCTGTTCTACGGAGAAAAACCAAGCTGCATTTCTACCTCCACGCGCGGTCTTCCAGCTCAAGGTGTGACTGCTGGATGAGTAACGCCACCTGTGGGGTTGGCAGGGCTGGCGATCTGGCCCAGCCGTCCCCCGAAATCTCCACGTTACAGATCACCAACCAATTCACCTCCACGCAGAAAAGAAGCTCATTTCAACGCGTCTGCTTGAGTCCACAGAAGAATGAGTATGGGGGACACGGCATCCTGATCCTAGAGGGGCACCGGGCTGCCTTCGTGATGTGGCAAAGAAAACCACAAACCACTGGGGTAAAAAACACTACATCATCTGACTACATCAAAATTAAAGATTTCTATCCTGACTCCATGGACAAACCCAACAGACAGGAGGACTTGAAGGAGCCTATAAGCAGATTAACTGAGCGGCTGCTGTAAGTCCACGACCTGCACGTGAACCAGCAACAGGACCGCTCAGTGTGCAGGGCCTTGAAGAGCCAGTAAACCCGCAGGGAGCCAGAAAAGGTGGACTGAGAACACTGAAGCGACATTGCCCTTAGGGTGGCAGTTAACCAGAAAGCCAGTGATGCCAAGAGCTGGGGACGTTATGGGGACAGAACCTCGTTTTCATGGTAGGGCTGTGGTCCAGCCTTTCTGGAAAGCAACACAGAAGGTCCCCCCAGTGGCACCACTCTGGGGGGTCCCAAAGGGCCTTAGAGACGTCCATGCCATTATCTGGGTGGGGCATCTGGGACAGCTGGGAAGTGTCTGGATTATCTGGGGGCTGTCTGGGCTTTGGGGGCTGTGGCTGAGTTATCTGAGGGCTGCTGGGTTTGGAGAGAGCTGGGCTATCTGGGAGTTTCTGGATTATGTGGGGTCTACGTCTTCTGGGGGACAGCTGGGTTGTGCAGAGGGACTCTGGGTCATCTGGGGAGCCGCTGGGTTATCTGAGGGCTGGGAAATTGTAGGCAGCCCAGCTGTGTCCGTAACTAGTAGACAAATAAAACGTGCTGGAAGCCAGGGCTGGGCGTCGGTTCAGAAGCACCTGCGAATCTCATGGAGACCCTTGAGAAGGGTGAAGAGCGGCGAGGAGTGGAGGCTCACCCCAGGGGCTCAGAACCTGTAAATACCGGTGCCCCAGACACGGAGTTACTGCATGAAGTTAAAACTGCAGCCACACCAAACGCTTCACAAGGACGGCACGTGTATGTCCCATAATAGTGGCAAGGGGACAAGCCGTGAAGAAAAGGAAAACATGATGAGCCACAGGGGGTCCTGGGGGCAGCGGGGTTGACGGTGGCGCCTGCGCTGGGCGCTGCAGACCAAACCCAGCGGAAGTGCGCGCGGTTGTCCTGAGGGCGCCGGCGGGCACGGTCGGGCGTGGGGATGGAGCGGATGGAGGTCGGGAAGGTGGCGGGGAGGCCAGGCCGGGCGCACCAGCACCCCAGAGCCTACCCCGGGGGCTGGCACAGGCCGGCCCCCCAGCGTGTCGGTCAAACGAGGCAAAGGGAGGAGTGAATGAGACGTGCGGCGGGGAGGCGGTGCAGGGCAGAGGAGGAAGCGGGGCGCGGGAAGTGATGTGCGGGGGCTCCGGCGCTGGGGGATGGGAAAGACGCCCCGCAGTGTCCGCGGGCCGCTGCCCCAAACCCTGGGGCGGGGGGTGCCCAGTCCCCCGCGTGCGTCCCAGCGCCCACGCGGTGTCCCGGCTCCGGGCGGGGAAGCGGTGCAGGTGCCAGGAGGCGGGACGAGGAGACCCCTCCTCGCCGGGGCGGCTCCCGCGACCGCGAGCCGGCGAGGGGGCCCCGCTCGGCCTCTCCCACCCTCTCCCCAACCCGAGGAAGAGGAGGAGGGGCCAGTCATTGTTAATTCATTTTATTTAATTTAAATATTTTTTGCAAAGTCATCGCCGGCGCCGCATCTGCGTGGCGGGGGGGGGGGGGGGGGGGGGGGGGGGGGGGGGCGGAGCCACGCAGCCGGTCGCCGCAGGTAAACAGCCCCCTCCCCGCGGTGGGAGCGGGGCTCCGGCCCCAGCCAGGGACAGCAGCCGCCGCCCCCGCCGCAGGGACGCGCCAGGCCCGGCCAGGGCTGCAGCCGAGGCGGGGGCGGCGGGGCGCGGGCGGTCCGACCCCTGCCCGCAGGGGCGGCGGCGGAGCGTCCCCCACCCCCGCGCCGGCCCGGCGCCCCCCGCACCCTCGCCACCCTCCCCTGCCGCCCGGCGCCCCCCATCCGTCCCCGCGTCCCCGCCGGCCCTCCCCGGCGCCCCCCGGCCGGCGCTCCCCGCCCGCGCCCCCCGCCCCGCGGCCC